CATATTGATAAAATAAATCTAATATTAGGTTGATGGATGTTTATTTGATGTGATTTGAAAAAAATCTAATTGGAATAATTGATTTGATTCATATTAGAACTCTATGAAGTGACCAAATTGTGCATCTTGTATTTGTGGTTCTTTATTCCAAATGAAGAGAGGTTGTAGTTGTATGGTTTTGTGATTAAGAATCTAGTGCTAGAAACTGCCATGAGTCTAATGGTTTGTAATTAAATTTTTGATCAAGTGTTTGTAGTATGAAACCTTTAAAGCTGAGTGATGTCATTTGATTGATTTCTTGGGGAATTAATATCATGCAAGTCATGTCATTGAGTGTTGGTGATTCACCACATGCTTATAAATGTAGCATATCTATTGCAATCTTTGTCGGAGTTTGAAGGGTGATCATAATCAAGAATCAAGGTCAAAGAAGAAATTATCTCTTTCCTTCAACTCTAATGGTAGTGATTGAATTTATTGCATGCATTTTTGGCATTATCTAGGGGATTTTTAAAGAGTTATAAAGATTGTGTATTTGTGGATTTAGTTGAGTTAATTCTAATTCATATTGGTGGAAAATTAAGCCATGGCTGGAGAAAAAGAATGATAAAATGGTTGTTTGATTCCCTCCTTTTCTTTTGTTTTTATTTTTTTCTACAAGTGCTTCAAAGGATTTTGTCATTTCTTGATGTTTGACAAGTTAAATGCCTACAAGTAATCTAAGTTCTATTCTCTCTAGACTTTAGAACAAGAACTTCAAAGTAAGCTTGTTATAATATATTATAAACTTTGGAGCTACCATAGAATAGTAATGAATGTATGTGTGGTACTATTATGGATTCTTATGGTCATGAGAAATATGGTGTTCTCATCCAAGGCAACTCTTGTACCTTTGAAAGGACTATTGATGGCTAATATTTATGCAACATTTCAATTAATTACTTCTTATCATCATTTTAGCTTCTTTTGAAGAATTATTTATGAAATAAGTAGAATTAGAGCAAAGTGAGTGATTTGGTTGCTTAAAATTCAAAAAAGATTCCAATCCATCTAATTATGATGATTTTCAATAATTAAAACAAGAATATTCTTATGTTGGATAAGGAGATTGTAATACCTTTTTTATGGCAAAGACGTCCTAGAAATTTGTTATAATAGATAAGTTTGAAAAAATACTTAAATAAATTATGATGAAGTATTTTTGGATTTTATTAGTATTACAAGTAGATGGATAACAATGTAATCCTATAAATAGGATAATGAAAAAAGTTGAAATCAAAAGTTTGTATTAAAAATCTTTTATTAATTATATATTCAAAACTTTTGTAGATTCTATATCCATTTCCATAAAGCCATTTAATAAGAGAGGATTGAAGATGATGCAATAGAAAAAATAGCTTATATATATTTACAAAGAAGTGGATTTTTTTATAAATTTCCAGTATATATATTCTAATAATCTTAATTGTCTTAATTCTAGTATAAAGCCCAATCTTTCATGCTACTATAATATGAATAATACATCTAATATGTCAATGTCTTTTTTATTAATATTTTGATATTCCAAATTTAGATAAATTATTTTTACTTTATTAGTATGAAATAAATTAATAATTAATATCATTTAAAATAGTAATCATTTATAATTTTTTAAATGACTATATGTAGTATTTTTTTAAAACAATTTTGCTAATATATTATTGAATTCTATTTTGTTTGTAAATTACTTGTAGATAATTGCAAAGGAAAAATTGTCCTTGTGGTACATGTACAAATATTATTTCCTATTGACTTGCAGTTGCTGCAAAAGTGCCTCCTTATTTATGCTTCTATAATTTCAAACTATGATGTAGATTTTTGTATTGATGTCTTTGTATGCATGTCACTTCTAATTCTATTTTTTGGTCCTTATGGCCTTTCCTTTGGACAACATACTCGTGGATTTTTCAATTGTATAGTTATGATTTAAAGCTCAATCAATCTGTCACATATATTTTCTTATTGGTAAGATATAAAACATCAAAAGTTTGACTAATAGAAGCATAAAATGGAAATAAACTTTCAAAAGAGAATAGAACTATAGATGTTATTGGAATAAATTGGTCAAAAGTATTTATTAAATAATATTGATGATAGAAATTACTAATTGAAAAAACATCTCTTCTTCTTAATAAAATTCATATTTAATGCTTACATGATAAATCTAATGTATTTGTTATTATTCTTATGAAGAAAAAATTGTGTTCATCAATTCCTACTCTTGCTTATTTATATTGCTCAAGAACAAGATTAAGAGCATGCAAAGATATATGTTTTACAACATTGGTGAAGAAACCAATATTGTGTTCATAAGTAATATGGATTTGTTTTAAACTTTCTTGAGCCTTCAATTTTCTTATTGTATTCTCAAAAAAGTGAGAGAGAAAAATTTGAACTTCTCTAAGGTCTTTGGTAGAGACTTTTAAATAGGATTTTAATATTGATTTTTGATCCTCTATTTGTGATGTAGTAATACTTCTAAGATAAAGTAGATTATTTATCCAAGCTTTAATAAAAAAATTCTTATATAGTATCCAAGTATTCTTTAAATATTCAATAGTTGCATGAATAATAGTATGAATGTACTTGTTGCAAAGATTAGTCCACTCCAAATTATAAAGCTCCATAAAACATGCACTAATTATAGTGGTCTAATTTGCAAGGAATGAAGACCATCCTAACTCTACTTCATTTGAAAATTATTTTTTGTAATTTGCTAACATATTTTTTTGTATATGCCAAATACAAAGTAATATATTTGAAGTGAGAAAGACTAATTCAATGGCATTTATTAATGCAAAATTCCTATTAATATCTATCCAAACGATCAAATTTCTCTATATACTTGCTGAAGTTGGATTAATGTCCAATTAAAGAAGGATTTTATTTCCTCTTGGAGAAAATCAATACCGATGGTAAACAAGATATTAAAACTTGTCATCCCTATAATATGTAACATTGGCATTCTTAATCTATTTGTTTTGTATGTGCAATCTATGACAATGGAAAAATGGTACCTTTTCTAAGTTGAATATACTTAGAATGTACAAAAAATAGACAAGTAACTTTATCTTCTTCATCACAATGATATATAAAATGGTAATTAGCACCTTGTAAAGTTTCTATGAATGATATAATAGGTGATTGTCCAATAAGTGCAATATAACGTAATTTCTACCACTCATTGTAAATAGTTCAATCAATTACTTTGCTATTAGTATCACTCTCTCATAAGGCAACAACAATATTTTTTTAGGATGCTTGCAGCTAGTAATTATGAAGTTACTTCTTTTTATGCTCCTTGCAAATGGCAAGCAAATGAATGGCCTAAAAGTGAAGAAGTAGCTCTATGGTTATGAAGAGCATTTTGAACTATCAAATGCCATTGAATATTATTAACCAAATGACAAGCATGCAACACAAATGGACACGTTATCAGATGACTTACATTATTTTGTTTATAAATATGACAATTTTGATCATAACAAATGTCTCCCTTGTCACACTTATAATCAATGTAATCTTTGTCACAGCATTGTTTGCATATGACATAGCCTTGATTGTATGCAAATGCATGAATACTATGTTTTATTTCTTCTATACTCTCAAAATATCTCTTTGGTGGTGCACACATATATCCTTCACTTTCCATTGCAAAATACAAAAAAATTATAGAATATATAATTTCCTCTTCTCTATCCACTACATAAAATCTAAAAAAAAAGAGTATATATTAGAATAAAATGAAGAAGTAAATTGATTACACACATACTTATAGAAAAAAAGAAGAATGGAAAGATGTTATTACTAGCCATTGCGAATTATTGAAAACCATTGGAAACTATATCCAGAATGATGATTCTATTTATCTCAATATAAATTATGGTCTTAATGATGAAGAAGATTTGTATTATCTATGTGCAAAATTGTGATGATATGTGGATTGCTTTAGTAAAAATGTGGATCGCTTTATGATTCCCTTATATATATACACACACAAAACACACAAATATATCAATATCAATATTTTTATTTTTATTTCTCCTTGCATTTATACCATCTTAATACTTTAAATCTAAATTATTTTATTATAATTCACTTCTTTTTTACATAATTATATGAATCAATAATTTCAATTGTAAATATTTTTTGAATTATTGATATATTGTTAAATCGAACCATTTTCTAAACAAAGAGTAAATTTTTACACAGTATATCCACTGATTATTTATATATATATAATGGTAAAATATTTCACTCAAGAGAATATTTTTTAGTGATTAATCTTTTTACTACTTTTAATAAAATTGCACTTTAAATTTTTCAAATATATATTTGAAATGCATTTATATATTCACTACAAATGATTTTCATCAGAATGGATACTTTTCTTCTCCTCCTGAGGGCCAAGCATTTAAGAAGCGACAACAGTAAAATGTGTTGAGAAATTCACAAATAAATAACTGAATAAATGAACCCTAGAACGGCACGGACACGTGTCGCCAGAGAAAGGGCGTGGTGAGCATCGACGTTGGGTGCACCGCAAAGCGAGAACCCCGACCGAGAAAGCTTCCACATTGGCATCGGAATCTTAACCTGAAGATTAAGAAACAGCATGAAAATTCACGCCCACGATCGCAATGCAATTATGGATGACAAAACGACGACGAATGTGGAACCTAGGCAGGAAACATCCACAGAGGCGCGACTGGTTCGGTGGCCGCGTGGTCTCCGACTCCTCACCGCGCGGTCCCGCTGTCTCGCCCTCGGTCTGTCTCTTCTGATCGAACTGAGATCCAGCCCATCGCGTGAAAGCGATCGACATTTGCTGGGACTGGTTCCAGTGCATCTCTGGAATTCGCGGCGTGCTTCACGTTTGCGCTTCTACTCGGAGCTCAATTGTCGCGCTGGATGGTGATGGAAAACGTGGGATCATCGTCTTCTTCCCCAGGGTTTGTCTCCAAACCCTAACCCACGGAATTGTTGTTGTGTTGTGTTGTGTTGCGTTTTCCTTTCGTTTTTTTCCCACTCGCGATCGTCTTTCCCCCTGTGATTGAATGGTCCGTTGTCTTGGTCTAGGGTTTCGAGTTTGAAGTGGCGAGTTTCCTGTTTCAGTTCCAGCTACTGTGTGTGTTTTTTCGTTTCAGCATTTGCCCTCGCGTTCGAAGCTGTCGCTTCTTGCCCTTGTGTGTGTGTGTGTGTGTGTGTGTGTGTGTGCGCGCGTTCCTTTCCGTCGACCTCTCCATGAGTTATTGCAGGTTTTTGCTTTCGTCGCGTGCTTGAAGAGGATGTCGGTTGAGATGAGTTTCTAATGCTGTTAGAGGGTTTTGATAGGGAGGTTTTTGGTGTAGAGATCGGTGCTCCGGCAATCGGTTATGGATTGTGTTAGAATTTTAGGATTAGGTGCTCGGGGTTTGTGTTTTAGGCTGCGAGTGTGTCACCGGGTCAACGTAAGTTGTTCTCGTTTCGACTTTTAGGTCCCGCTCCCTTGTCAAGGGGGGATTGTTGCTGGTTAATATCGTGTTGGGAAAAGCTTAGATGTGCTGTGCAATTGCATCCGATCGCTGTAGTTTTTGGATTTGAGCATACATGTTTGGTGAGGTTTGGTCTAATGGGATTGTTCAGAGGTGCGAAAGTGCAGTTGGCATTTCTTTGTGCTTAGGCAACTAAGCAACAGGCTTCTTATGCCTTTTTTGTGAAGGATGTCTGGTAAGATATTGGCAGGGTTATAGATCCAATGTGGGGTGAAATGTATGCTATTTTCATCGGATAGCCTCTCTAGTCTTTTAGGAAAATCCAGAAACATATAATCTTTTGAAATTATCATGGCGGAGGTTTTCTTCATACACCAGCTTAGATGGAGTCAGTAGGCCAACTACAATTTTGTGATGTATTCTGATTCTTGGTTGTTCAAGGGTGGATTTGAGTGAACATGATGTTGCATGTGGCGCTCAAGTCAATCATTGAGAGAATCTAGTTCTAGCTTCTCGGAAGCTTTGATCAGCACATGGTTTGACAGAAACTTAACTCAATTGCAACCAGCGAATTGCGTAATTGACCTAATTTACTCTTTCGTGGGACCCTAGTTATGCAGATTTAGGACGACACTGTAAAAGTCTCCGCACAGGTGCTCACCTTGACGAAGAGGAATTCTAGGGCGAGGCTTTAGCCAATTATGGTGCAATGAAAAGAGATTGACGTGCCGCAATTGTCAAAAGGAGAGGGAACTTAACCCAGGTTGGTGGGTTGGAAGAAAAGTATTTTCAAGGCATGAAATCAGCTGAGTTCAATCTCTTTGCTCAGCTTCGGGCTTAATATTGGGATTCCAGAGTTTCATTGGATAAGCCCAGGAGTGCTTGTAGTGAAGCAGGCGTATTCCACTCACAGCGTAAGAATCACTTTGTGATTGTGTTATACTGGAGGTTGATTAGATTGCACTATCCTGTAAGCGGTACACAAATGTGCCAAAGGTGACGGAGATTCAAGATCAATGCAACCACATGCGGGTGATGCTCAAATAGCTGGTGTAGTGGGTGGAGCACACAGAGCACTGGCAAGCGCCATTGATGACAGGCCGAACAGCAACAACGAGGCTAGCTCCCCCGGAGCGATGCAAGAAGGACAAGTGAGGCCAGTGGTGGTGCGAGCTCCATCTCAGATCAGCACAGCCTCCCAGCTCCTTGCGGGGGGGATTGCAGGGGCTTTCAGCAAAACATGCACTGCCCCACTCGCTCGTCTCACGATTCTTTTTCAGGTATAATGTTATTTATTTCAAGATACAACGTTTGAACTGATGAATTATTTGGAATGTGTTAAATAGTGTTGTAGTTCGCAAGATTGAGATAGTGTGTCATGGTACGGAGACCTTACTTGTTGGGTTTGTGAGGTGCCTTTTCTGTGCTTGTGGACCTGAGATACTTAGAAGTTTATCTTTTCTCATCGGTCCTTATTGAGCAGCGATGCTTAATTCTAGACGAGCTTTCGGGCGTGATTATTCTCTGAAATTCTGCTTTATGCAAGACCTAAATAATTATGAACTTTGGGTTTAGAACTCGAGCTTTCGCATTTTTGATGCTTATGTAGTCATCTTCGTTCTGATTGTATTGTTGATATTGCAGGTTCAAGGTATGCGATCAGCATCAGGTGCTGTTTTGAGCAGCCCCAGTATTCTGAAAGAAGCCTCACGAATCTCTCGGGAAGAGGGTTTTAGAGCTTTCTGGAAGGGCAATGGAGTTACGATAGTTCATCGACTGCCGTACTCATCTATAAATTTTTTTGCTTACGAGCAGTACAAGATGGTATGCAATTACTCTGCAATCTGTTCAAGGGCAGTGTAGTGATCTAAATTGTATGTTTCTGATATTGAAGCAGTTTGGGAGATTGTCAATCTGCTGTGAACGTCGTCTATAAAGGGTTCTTTTGATTACCTTAGGTATGTTCGAAATGAGGTAGCAGCTAAGTTCAGCAGTCATGTTTCCATCTTTTCATTCTTCCGTGTTCTTCCTATTTCTGTACGCACCAGAAACTATATCTGCTGAGATAACACGCTACTTTCATTGGCAGCATTTGAGGAGGATAATGGGCATTGACGGCGATCAGGAGAGCCTCGGGGTCGGAATGGGTACAAGGTTGTTAGCTGGTGGAGGTGCTGGTATTACAGCTGCGTCTTTGACTTACCCGCTGGATTTGGTTAGAACGCGCTTAGCTGCACAGGTGAACCTTTGTACTCTTTGTCACTGGAATGTACAGAACTTGAAATTTTTGTTTACTTGTTTTTGTGTGTTAAGTTTGTGAAAGGCCACCTGGTTCTACTGCAGATTTCTCGTTGTCGGATTGCATAATTATGGCTACACATGACTTAAGTGCAGAATTATTGTGCGTGTCTGTAAGTGCAAATGCTTTCACGAGTTTGTGCGCCTGGATCTGAAGAAGCAGTGTCAGTATCTGACTAGTGTTTTCCTTATGGTGCATGTTGCAGACGAAGGACATGTACTACAAAGGCATTACTCACGCTCTGATAACCATTACCAAGGACGAAGGCTTTTGGGGATTGTACAAAGGCATGGGAACTACACTAATGGTATTATTTGAACTATCTCTAGCGTTATGAGTGTGTTGTGGCTGTTTACTTGTGATATCTTTTAGAGGTTCTCTTAAGTCCTGCCTAAAGATAGAGCTCATGATAGTGCAAAGAGTACTGATTGTATCAATCATTCCATAGTGAATGTTGAAAGTATCATGTTAGGCGATTAGAGGAATGATGGACATTACTCCTCCTTGGATGCCTCCAGGTTCCAGCTTGAATATGAGGAAAATGATGGAATATTGTAGTATATTTAGGTGAATCCCCAGAAGTCCCCTCCCTCTTCCCTTCAATTGAGTGCAGTACGTTATAAATATGGTCTTAGACTAAGTTATGATTGAAGCACCCTCAATAGTAGCCTGGCTGATGGGAAGTGCGGGAAAACACAACATGCAGGTATGGGGTCGGTCGGGCATTGCTGAAGAGTTGTGAAGTATATGATTGTATTGGGTGGGGTTTCAGTGATGCCCAACCGACGCTTGCCCATGTGCCATGTCAGGTAAGTGGCAGTAATTTAGCGTTACTTGTATGTCGTGTGCGGTTGGGCCATGTTGTGCGTTAATGGCGACTTTATACAAAGCGACTAGAATCGTGTGCTTTTAAATGTCATAGTTGGAAATGCTGTAGGAGGGGACCAGGGATTTCAGGTCAGAACTTTTTGTAAGTAGGTAGCATTGTATCTACTTTGAGAGCTGAGCATCATCTGAAACGTTTTCAAATATTGATTTCCTAGGAGTGGTTATCTGTGCCATAACTTGTTGCATCTGGAAATTCATACTTAAAATTTTAATCCCAAATTACAGGGTGCGGATAGTTAGAATTCATGATGGACATTCTATGCATTTTCCTATGTAACATATAGCTGCTTTACAGTATTCTCCAGGTGTTGAAACTGCTGGAGTCTATGCAAGAATTTCATCTTACAATGTTATTTCGTTGTTTGGAACAGGGTGTTGGCCCAAACATAGCTATTAATTTTTGTGTCTATGAAACTCTCAAGTCGATGTGGGTGGCGAAAAGGTATAAGCACCATTTGAGAACCTTGTGACTATTGAGATCATCGCCGGTTGTGCGAAAAGTTCAAGGATAATTTTGGGATTTTGTAGTAGTTTTCTTCCTCTCTTATACTTCGAAATTGCAACTGAACACTTTTGTATAGTATGTGAAAATTACAACAGAAACAGATGACATAATATACGTTGGGCGTTTAGTCTGTGTTAGATATGCTAACATAATCAATGCTTCGATCACTATGCAGGTCAGACGTGTCACCAGCCATAGTTAGTCTTGCTTGTGGTAGTTTTGCTGGAATATGCTCATCGACAGGTATGTTGCTCGTCAAGCTGTAGGACCCTGGCTCCTTATCATATTGCTTGTTTTACTTTTCGTATTCGGCTCTCATATTTTTTCTACTCTGTCGTGTACAACTGTCTCTGTTGTCGGATTACTTGGTGTGATGATTATTGGTGTAGATCATTGCTGATTGGTCCTTTACTTTGTGCAGCAACCTTTCCTATTGATCTGGTGAGGAGGAGAATGCAGTTGGAAGGAGCTGGGGGGAAGGCCAAGGTTTACAAACATGGTCTTTCTGGGACATTTAAGGAAATTATCACGAAAGAGGGTCTTTTTGGTCTGTATCGGGGGATTCTTCCAGAGTACTACAAGGTCATTCCCAGTGTTGGCATTGTGTTTATGACCTACGAGTTTATGAAACGCATCCTACGGCCGAGGTCGTGGGATGGATTGTAGATTGGTAATGCGTTATGATATTCTTTTCAAATATATTGTGATCATGTGTTGAAGTTGTGGCCTTACTGTGAAGAACGTCAGGGATCGAGTAGTTGAGGTGCGGTGGAGTTTGGTCATTCTGTTTCCCCTTTGGAAGTTAGTTGCAATAAGGCCGACATCTGGAGGATGTCCAACACAAAGTGACCTTACGAAGGAAAGTGTTTTATTTTTTTGTTAGTGTTTCAGATAAATAATCTAATGAGGAGAAATTATGTAATAATACAACAACAAAAAAATAAGTAATGAATATTACACATCTTGAATTTGGTAAAAATTCCCCGTCAGTTGCATAACAGTAGCAGACGTAGGCAGAGACCTGACCATGATGCGGCTAGAGTAACATCTGATATGCTGTGTAGCATGATCACTTCCTGTTCTACTACATATATCTCCAGGCATTTAGGAAAATGCAGTGCAAACTGTTCGAATTCCTGAGTCATCCGTAAGCGCATGGAGCTAAGGGGCATGACGGAAAATGTTAGGTTTGAGTTGGTAGCATAAGATGAGTTACTTTTTCAAATGGTATTTCAGGGTTATATATGCAGCTTCTCTATCACCTGTTACATACTTTGTCTAAGAATGTAGTATCCAAAAGGAGTTGTGTTGCCAAAACCTTAGACCCTGGTCATGGTAATAGTCGAACTTATTCGAGTGTTAAGTGGGAGTAAGAAGAGAAAATCCTCAAGAACCGGTTCTCTCGTACTCAAAGTATTCATGTGCTGGTGGTAACTCTTAAAAACCACAATGAAATTTTGTTTCAATTGAATTTTTCTGTACTTTTGCAGGAATCTCTGCCCATGTACTTTCAATTGCAAATGATTGAGTTACCAAAGAACTATTGCATAGAACAAAGCCTTAACCACTCGAACATCGAAACAGACCAAATCTCCAGACTCCAGCAGTTTCGTAAGTTGCATTCCACTGGAGTTTGAAACTTTTTGGGTGAATCAAAATCTACCCGAATCTTGTTGTTACGACGGCAAGTGCTTGAAAATTGTAGCATTTTTGCGAACACAGAATAATCATTTGCGGACTTAAAATGTCATGACTTGGATTTCCAAAACGAATATTTTAATCTATAACTTGTTCTTTACTTAAAATAATTTTATTATGTACCTTAAAATAAGGATTTTCAAAGCGAATATTTTTAATCTATAACTTATTCTTGTATATTTTGATGCTGAAAGTATAATTTTTGTATTAATTGAAGGAATTATTGAGTTTATAGTACAATGGGTGTTACTATTACTGCTGAAACACTTGGTTGCAGTTTTCTTGAAGTTTATGTTGAATCCGAATTTGACAAGAAAATGTATTGTTGTAATGGTCAGAATATATGGTTTAAATCTAAGAACAAAGATGTTTGAAAATTTGTTGAAATTTCTCTTTATTAAATGTGTAATTGGCATGTAATTATGTTGCCAATGTTCAGCACCTCGACACAATTGCCATTCTGTTACATTATAGAATTTTAAGGAACAAACTTCAATTTGTGTCAGAAATGATCCTTATTTACAAAAGAATATTGTAATAACAATGAACATTATATTAGAATAGTTTATGTTAATTTTTTTAAAAATACTTTGTAGCAGATTGAAAGAAGATGAGGGATAATTTAAACATATAGATATTTCATGTGTAAACTAAATATAGTAAAATTTTATGTTCACAATTCTTAAAATTTATTTGAAATAAATATACTTTTAGATTGTATATATATATATATATATATACATTCAAAACATAGTTAAATTAAATATTATAAGATTAACACAAAACATGAATAATCCTTTTTCATGCTTCTAATGCAACTAATAAATTTAAAATGTTATTTTTAATAGATAATTATGGTTTGTAGAACTTTACTATAAGTTTGTGACATGCTTTATGCAAATTCTTAACATGTGCAGCTATAACAATAATAATACTAGTTTTTAAACTGTTTTGAGTGAATATCAAAAGACCAATTTTAGGCATACAAAAAGATCTTGTAAAACAACAATAATGTAGATTAAATCAATCACTTTAAGTTTTTAATTTCAATCTTAATTACCTATATTTTACATAGATATTAATTGTAATCATTAATTTAGATAATTTGAATATAATCTTAAAAGTATTGAAATAATATTTTTTAATTTCTATGTTCATAAATTATAAATAAATTTGTTGTGTAGAATTTTTTTCATAAATTATGTCAATCATGAATTAGATTTTGCTCAAAGATTTTATTTAGATCTTAAAAGTATAGATTATAAATGATTATTGGCTGTCAAATATAGTTTTTAATTTATAACTACATCATTTTTGAGAAATTGTTAAATTGAAACATAAGGGATCCAACACCCTCTTGCAAATCATGCAAAGATATGAAAGTGGAGTCCACAAAGCATCTCCATTACAACAAACTCCTAAAGTACTCTCACAAAACAATAAAATTGGACACACATTCCTTGAATCCATTCCATTATACATCTCTTACTCTTAGTACACAAATTCTTGAGTTCAATCAACATTGTAATGGGGCAATTTAGTAAAATGATGGGTTGATTTAACAATTTTTTCTTTCAATTGAAGTCTTGTTTCTTTTATTCTTTCTATATTTTTATTTGTTTAAATGAAATTGGTATAGGTTGGCTACTATTTAATTTCTACAAAATCTTATTTTAATTAAAAACTATTTTTTTAGGCAACATATCTATTAGTCAACTCTATAAGTTTTTTGACATCTTATTTAATCTTCACTTTTTTATGTATTTAAAAATACATATATATTTTATTACTAAAATAATAATAAACACATAAATTTTTAAATCACTATTTGCCAATTTTTAAAAGAAAAATTGTATTATATATAATATTATAATAGCTTCAATATTATATTTTTTTGATTTGTTTAAAGATTCACCACTAGCTTAGCAAGTTTTTCCTAATTGATAAACTTATATGATAAAAAGAAGAAATCAAGACCTAGGATAGAAAAGACTTAAAAAATTCTTATTCAGTTTTTATAATATATTTTTTATAATATTCGTCTTAAAATTTTTAATGATTTCAATGTGTTTTTAAAACCAACCATCAAAATCTTTTCACAAAATTTGTAAATTTTTAAATTGAATTTTATAATATCCCTTCAAAGCATAACTTTTTCTATATAAAAATTAAAATTTTAATTTATTTTATCTAGATTTTTAAAATTTTCTTAAAGTTTTTGTATTTTTATTGTTTGATTTTTTCTCTATAGAAACAAACCTTAGAGAGATCAGAAAATTCTATAACCACACATCATCTACAAACTTACTTGCAAATTAAATCCTTATTTTTTAAGTATCCAAAAAGTAAACAAATTTTAAATAATTACTCAAATTTTACTTCTTTTTTTCTATTTTTTATTTTATTGTATTTTACAACTTCTTTCTTATTTTCAAATTCTAATCATGGATAATCTGGCTCAAATCTAACTTTATTTAAGTCATAGATTTTTAAAATATCTTTACATATTCAAATTGTACTTTATATCAACTAAGACATTTTTCAAATTGTATTGCATCACCATATGATATGCCTAGCCTTATTTTACTTAAATACATTTCAATCTTAATTTTTTAATCCATTTAATTTGATATATACATCTTAGCCTAGTATAATGTAATTGTTTTATAAATTTATTTCACTTAAAGGCCTCTTAGATTTGCTGAATGATTTGGTACTATTTCTTTAAACACATTATCTAATTCAATATGTTTGTTTATTTATTAAGAATATATTTTATATATAATTTGGTCTAATGGGCTCTATTGACACCAAGAAATATCAATGAATTAGTGGATGAATCAAATCACATCTAATTATGAGATATTTTATATCTTTTGTGTTCTACATATCAAAAAACAATCTTCCATCTAGTACAAACTTGTCAATTGGAAGTGATACACCTCTTTAATGAATTGTCACACTAAATAATATGTATTCTATTTTAAATATAGAACAAATATTTTCTTATAAAGCTTTCTTCAATATGTTTTAACATTTGTTGCACTTGATGCTTCTTATTTTAGAACCTTGCTTTTAGATTGTTTAGATTTAAGAAAACAACTAGGATCTCAACAATTATATATGTCCAAACAAAAGTTACCATATCTCTTTGGATACCCTCAAAGAATATGGTGTCTTATATTATTTTAATTTACTACATCAAATAGCTAAAATCTACCAAATTATTAACTTCCAACAAAGAATATAGATTTTGTTGAAACTAAAATAAATATAACTTTTAAAAGATATATTAGAACATTGTTGCCATAGTTTTTGATTATTATTGTATATTTATATTTATATTGTATATTTACAAAAAAAAGTTATATATATTCAGATGCATTTATTCACATACAATCTTATATTCTTTGACAGCTTATTGTATATAGAATTTTATGGTCAATTATATTGATTATTTTTAAAAAATGTATCTATTTACAAAGTATCAAAATAAAATCCAATTTACAATCATGTAAATTACTATACTGTGAAGTAATTATTTTAGGGAACCATTAGGTGAACACCCGCTTTTAATTGCATGGACATTCCTCCGTGCCACACCAGCAAAATACTATTGCTACAAGTTTTTCAACAAGCTAGATATTATCAAAACTGAAATGTATAAGAATATCAATAAAAAACAACCCACAACACAAATGCTAATTTAAAAAAATAAAACAAAACAAAACAAATAGCAGAAGAGGGGTGTCCATGTTCCACTAAGTGAACACCCTTGTTATTTATTTGCTTTGTTTAGCTTTTCTATTGTCGATGTTCCTGTGATGTGAATTGTTGTTTTTTTGGTTTTTAACCTTATCAGTGTCTAGTTTGATTAAAAAAAACTTGTTACAATAGTGTATTGTTGGTGTGGCACACGAACGTCTACACAATGAAAACAACTAAGAAAAGTAAGTGCCACCTACCAATTCCCTTATTTCAATATTTCAGAACCAATTATATAATTACGTGAATGGCCGGGTGCAGCTGCTGTGCCAGCTTGTGAATCAAAAATAAAAATCCTCACAAATTGGTATCATTGCTGTAAACCAGGTTTGTTCCACTAAAGACAGCAGCTGGATTGATAATTATGCACTGTCGAGCTCCGAGCTGTTATCGCCCCATCTAACATTGTACTTGGCAGCCAAATAATGAGCACCTACTGGACCACGGCTGCCATAAGGATAGAGCTCTGGACTTATCTTTCGCTTCTCCAACTCGTTCAATAAAGGAGTGAACAATGCCCATGCAGCATCCAGTTCATCACTACGGATGAACAGCCTGCGCTCACCCTCAATAGCATCAAGTAGTAGCCGCTCATAAGCGTCGGGGATTTCTCGATCGTACCTGTAGAGGTCCATTGCACACTTCAGAATAGAATAATAGTCACACAGTGGCTTACTCAAAGATGTAATAGATCTGGCTTTGGTAAAGGGAAAACAATAAGTTTGCCATTTTCCTGTGCTTTTACGGGCAGCATTAACTGGCGGCGTCATGAGGAAAAATAAACACTGATTATGTTGATTCTCAGCTTGACAAGCTGAGGGAAACATTTCCAGAAGGAACCATGAGTTGAGAGCATACCGATCAGCATAATGCAGATTCAAGTTTGACCGATCCAGCCTCATACCAAGACCTGGCACTTTGTTGTTAATCTTAAGATATATGGCCTCATCAGGCTGCACACGGATTACTAATTCGTTCGTTGCTAGGTCAAGATCTGTCCCAAAACTCCGCTTGTAAAGGTTACCAGGTACATGTCTGAATTGTACTCGAATCTCAGCTCTGCCAGATGCATCTCAAACATATAAACCCATCGCTCCTTACCATAGAAGTCTCTTCACGAATGACATCACCTATGACTCCAGTATATTGGTAACATACTACATGTAGTATTTACAATTAACAACATTCGCAGGGACATAAGCAAATTAACAACATCCAAAGAAAATCTCAATGAGTTCGTGATTTCGAACTTTGCATTTCTGGAAACGGTGATCTCATCCACACCATCATGAAATACAAACAATAAATATACAAACCTTTTCTTATGGAGGGCCTTTCCTGCCTTCATCAAAAACGGAACTCCATCCCACCGTGCATTATCAATAAAAACGGCAGCAGCAGCAAAAGTAGGGGTAATACTATTTTTGGGCACAGTTTTATCATCTAAGTAGGCAGGGTACTTCACTCCCCCTCGGGTGTGCCCTTTGTATTGGCCAACCACGACATTGTCAACATCCAGAACCCTCATCGACCGGAGAACCTTCACCTGCAACAAGGAGACTCTATCGTTCAGAAAATTACACTGAACTGAGCTGAGCTATCCCCAGAAACAACCACGAAAAGATCAAGAAGCCACTACTTAACTCAGAATGCAAATAATGGCAGCCAGCGTCAATCAATACATCACACTCAATGAACTGAAAGCCCCTCGAAGAATTCGATTGCACCTTCTCATTTCGGATGTCCTCAGCGTCCAAACTCACAGGTGGTTCCATAGCAAATAGCGCTAGAATCTGAAGGAGATGATTCTGCATAATGTCTCGAATAATGCCATAGTTATCAAAGTATCTGCATAATCACCAGCACAATATAACATACGGTTCAAAATCATCCAATTTAAAGCACAAGACACCCAGCTGCAAAACATCGGACAAAACCGTTAGAAACACAAAAATGCAACATGAAAGCACCAACTATGATCATCACTCATCCTTATTCCTTCCAGCACTTTGTGTGGATATACAGGACGTGTAGAACGAAGGTTAAAATAAGGGAGATATGCTGAGAGAGATGATTGCCCTGCAATCATTACACAAGTTCACTGCTATCGTGGAAGAAGACTCGTACCCGCCACGTCCTTCGGTACCGAAATCTTCAGAAAAAATTAGTTGCACGTTCCTTATGTATTGCCGTGACCAAAGTGGCTCAAAAACAAGATTTGAGAACCGCAAGACTGATAGATTCTCTACTAGCTCCTTTCCCAAGTAATGATCAATTCTGAACAAGAAAAAAGGATAGTAAGAACTCGGACCAATAATAATCAACCAAAGAGAACTTATTACATTAGAGAGATGTGGAAACGAATTGCGCTAATGTCACTGGTAAGTTACACATATGAAGATACACAAAACTGACAGACTATGTTTGCCACCATAATTTTATTCTTTACACCCTGATTACGTCATGAACACACATTCAACTGCACTCCTGAGAACACATACCGATAAATTTGATCTTCCTTCAAGTACGTCTTTAAGCCTCGAGTGAGCTCTGCAGAGGATTCTGAGTCACGGCCAAATGGCTTCTCCACAATAACACGTGTCCAACCATTTGCTGAAGAAGCAGCAAGACTTGAAGATCGAGCGACATCCACAAAGATATTAGGAGGAATAGAAAGGTAAAATAATCGGTTTGCAACTCTGCTTCCCTGCATAGCAATTCCATCCCTAAATCTTAACATGGACAGACCCCATCATGTAAACCAAATATGAGTCCAATCACAAACTTAGTTTACATACTCAGTATCTTCATCAAACAAAATATTTCATCTGCATTTAAATACACCAGACGAGTAAACAAGGAGTCACAGTAGAGGAGAATTACAAACCTCTTGCTTGCGAAGTTTGTCGGAAAGCTGTCCAAAAGATTCTTCTGAGCTGTACTGGCCGGCATGATAGAAACACCGCTTCAAGAACTCTTCTTGCTTTTCGCCACAATTCTCACTGCAAATGTTTCTCGCATTAATAATACTCATGCGTAATCAGGAAGCTCCTAACTTTATTCTGCACACAATGTGAGACCTAAGTTGCAAAGCATAAAGATAAGGTCGTAGAGCATTCTCGAGAATCTACTCTGCAATTTGCACAACGTATTGTTTCTAATGAACACGTAACCCATGTGAAGTATCCTACCTTTGATCGATCCGGCACGTGAGGGTTCCCGATATCATCTCTCGAAGCGATTCGTCAGTCATTTTGCTCCGTGCGAAACCGAAGATTGTAAAATGCTGCAACAAAGACAGAGCAACCTAGGTTCTTGAGAGCTCACATTAAGGAGTTAAGACACGAGAACACACTGAAACACCAGCAGAAACAACCAACCATTCGAATAGTACATTCGGATAAGGTAGTTTCACATTTTACACGCTGAATTAACGGGTAGTACGATAGAAGAGCTGAATGTAAAACGCGGTGACACTTTTAAATTACCCGCCTTATCTGAATCAACTGCTTCACCATATAACCGGAAGTTTTACAGGCATTGGTTTACTTATACTCCACCAAAAGACCCATGTCCAGGACTTGAGTAACGAACCTTGGGCAAGCAGCCCTCGTAATAGAGTGCAAACAAAGCTGGGAAGATTTTCTTCTTTGCTAAGTCTCCAGAAGCTCCAACAACTGTAATACTAACTGTGGTCTCAGTGTCCACTGACCCACTATTCACATGAGCGGACTTAGGTGACGCGCCATTTGTCGAAGCAGCAGTCTTAGACAATCCGTTGTTCGTCAACACCTGAGCAGATTCAATTGGCATGTTCCCTGTTTGCAAGGGTAAAAGGACGAGTGTCTCCTTACAGACTGGAACGAAACGTCAACTTAAACACCATGTGCATTATGAAAGCATTGAGCTGAGTGTGTACGTCCAAAAAACACTGAAGCTCTTCAAAACACTCAAAATTCACCATCATGTCACCTTAAACCCCAACTCCCTACATCTTCATGGAACCTAACATTATAGAGGGAAATAAACAAATACCCAAAATTCAAAAACGTGTATCTTTCTATTTACAAACAAACTGCAGCAAAGCTCCTCCAAGGCGATGCCCTCTGGGCCATTACCTGTCACTGTCGCCCGCACAGCAAAAGGATTCCTACACTGAGAGGTCCGTCGCATTGCGACCGAGACTGCAGGCAACGCTAGGCCAGTCTGAGAGGCTACTTGCGTCGACCCCAAGTGGGCATCAAGTCCCCTCACGCAGATGCTTGAGCTCACAGCCTGCGCGAGCGACATTGCCCCCTGGTCCATCGGATTGAGCGCACCCTTAACAACTGCTTCCAAAAATCCACAACCCCGATCAAAACCGACACCCTCTCTGGCATTCCCAGCACCAGGTATGGATACGAGAAACCGAAGGAAATGCCACGCACAACACAACAACAGCAGAAACTCATGACACACACTTACAACTGGTGAGAGGAGATTTGAAAGGGAAGCGATGCCGGCATTGACGCCGCAAGCTGAAGGGCAAGCACACTTGGGGATGATCAGCCCATCCGCCGTTGCGATGCGCCAGCTTGCGCAAGTGATGAGATGAGCTGCTAAAAGGCTAAAGAGCATGAGGGATTTTTGAGGGATTTTTTAAGCTTTACCGGCACCATTTCTTCTCCTCGCCTGATCGCAGCAATAGATCATTACGGTCCTAATTGGCCATGGTTGATACCCCGCCGCCGACCTACGTCTACGCCACATGGTGTCGCGTGAATTTTTCAACCGGGAGTTACAAATAGTCTATAATTATTACAAGTGGCAGCCAAGCTCGAAGATACATGGGTGAAAAGAGGTTGGAGAAAGGAGAAGTTAATGAGAATGCATCATTCATGTAATTTATTGGAGAATGAAGATGCATTTGATTATAAAAGAAAACAATGAGTTTTGCCTCATGGGTGTATACAATGCACATGTCTCCACCTCTTTCTTTTTTCCATTTAGTGACATTTGATTAAGATGGGGATTTGTCTTTAGAAGGGGGTCAATTTTCATACTACTACTCAGCTGCTCTACTAATTAGTACTTTTTTAAGAGAAGAAAATTTTACATGGTAATCTTGCAACAATGAGTTTTCTTTCTGCCAAGGTGAAATGTGTTTTGTGAATACTTCATCAACATTTTGACTGAGTTGTAAGATGCATGATGGTGTTTATTTTGGTGGTATACCATCTCTTCCATACAAAAGGGAAAATTTAGTGAATTATTTTTTACTATTAGTATGTGCAACCTATTAGAAGGTAATTAAATTATCAATAGATTTGTGTACTATATGTATTACATGAGATTTTTGTGATGTTTATATTTTAAATTCAATGTAATATTTTTATTTTTATATATATATTTGGTAGGTGGTGAGTAAAATATTATACCTAGCTCTTAATGCACAAGGTAAATAATGAGGGCCACAAGGTGTATAACATGCTTAGATCATCAGAATAATCTTCTAAATTATTATTTTGATATCACATAAAGATTTTTATAGATGGTTGTCAACTTTGTGGGATCTAAATTCAATAATATTTTCAGTCTTTTCTATTAATTAAGAAATCATTTTTTTGGTACTATTAGAATTTGGTATTTAAGGTTTAAATATTAATAAAAATAATTATTGCGGGTTGTTGCTACTCTACAATTTTGTGTAGTATTTTTTTAATAAGTTAGTCTACATAATATTTACAATTACTTGCATGGCATCAAATATAATATATCACCATTAGTCTTTTTCAATTGGAATAAAGTACTTGAGATGCACATACTATTTGAAGTGGAGACACAAGAAGAAAGTAGTTTGAAATCTAGGCTTAAAAAAGACTGAGTAATTACATCACTAGATAAGAACCAAATCATCAAATCATGTATGGTTGCTAAAGATAAATTTGGCATATTTGATTACATGACTATAATTAATGTATTAGAGATACCTATTTAGCAAAGTAAGTAATTGTATAACCATTGCAATAACCTTAAATCATTAATATTTATGAGATGTTTTTGTGATGAAAATATATCATAAAAAGTAACTAAAAAGAGTGTGGAATGATTTAGATGATACCATGTTGTTACGATGTATATCACAATTAGAACATTAAAAATTATTTTATCTGCAACCATGATTGCATTACTTTTAAAAAAATATATACAATAATAATATTATATAAATATAAATATAAGTTAGTATTTATTTTGGTGACTACATTTTGGTTTCTATTACATTACAAAATTTAGAAATTAGATGCTTAAAATGAAGAAGCTTTGATGTTTTGGTCTATTATAAAATCATATATAATAATTGAGGATGCATCTATTATATTATTGTGCATTTGTTGACTTCATTGCAATTTTGTATGTATCACCTCACTTTAAGAAGCTTGTTGTTTACTTTAAACTATTATTTTTGTTGTTTCATCTTTTGGTCCGAACTCATTCATCACGGTGATCCTCCTTGGACGACGTCTCCGGTAAATACCCCAACACATGTTTCACTCCAGTATGGAGCCAATGTGGATGCGCAGGTCGACATTCAGACTGCAGAGATGGTACTACATAACACTAAAGCAACATTTTGGAGCACCGGCGGTGGTCTCCCCACGTTGACAGTAAAAATAGTAGAATGCTTAGGGTCAAAACTTCCGTACTCTGCGCACCAAAACAATCAAATCAAGTTAAATGAGGACAAGAGGATACAAAGAGTGGAGCAATTGCAGATTGCACACGAGAAGGATCCTACTCAGGATAATCTACCTTTCCTCATAGCCGGATCGACACTAGACATCTCATTACCAGACCTCGACAACCTGCGGTAGATTGGTTATAAACTTCATATATAGACGTCTTAGCTTATATAACTTCTATCTCCCTACCGGTTTTAATTCTCTCTACCAATAGGAGTTGTGAGTCTCTGCCTTTGCTCAATCTCGTGGCACATAATCGCCTGTTGAAAACAGCAACAATGGCCGAGAACTTCAAATTCAAAGATCTGCTCCCAACTAAAACGGCAAAGGTAATCTCACAACTCAGGCAAGGCATTCAACCAGCTGATTCAGATTTACACGGTACAAATATTGACCTTGACACTTTGAGCCTGAAGTGTCTTTCGCCAGCATATCAATTCGTAGTTTCCTCACCGGTATTAGCTGTTGGATCGAAGAGACCACTAGAAGAAGTGGAACTTGATGACCTTAACGTCGACAATGGAGAGCAACAAGGTGATTCTTCTCCTCTACGGTCCAGTGATTTAAAATCTAGACTTCTTACAGTGATTGGCCGAACAAGGAGTAAGGTGTTAGACAAGCATTAGTATTTTAGAGCCGGTACTGGGACGAGACTAGTGATCCAATAGAGAAAGACAACATTGTTTATCCGCTGCACAGTTTGGTTGGAGGAACGAGATCATCTATCTTTAATAAGCAAGTACCCCCCCTCCCCCCAAATTCTTGAAACTTAAAAGTTACAACCTGAGTATCTTCCAAAAATGTGATATTTTACTCCTCCAAGAACATAAATTATGTGGCTCAACATCACAATTATAGGTTAAAATTGAATTAGGCCATAAATTAAGTACATAAATCTAAACCTAGATTATTTATTCCTAAATTGGATATTTATAATTTAAGTGATCCTCAAGTTTTTCAACAAGTTAAGAATATTTGATCTAATTGTGACTATATGAGATCTTTTATCCATTATATATATATATATATATATATATAGATAGATAGATAGATATATATGTATCCACTTTTATATATCTTTTTGTAAAGAACAAGTATTACTAAGACATATCAAATTTTAAAGTAAGACTCATTCAAAAAAATCCTCAGATATTGGCATTCAAACTTAACTTAAAATAATATAGGATTTCTCCAATCAAATGGAAGATTAGCAATAAGAACAAAAGTCAATACATCCTTGGATATATATAAAATAGTATTGATAAAGCATTTTATGCTTTGATCAAAAATTACCAATCTAAACAAATTATCTCAAAACTCCAAAATTCTTAAGTAAGATAAGAAGAAACTTTTAATCTTGAAAAAAAATTTGTTTTAAATTTTTTTCTATTCTTAGTAATATAAATCTCAAAGTTTTTAGTAATTGAAAGAAGCTTTAACAAATAAATTTAAAAATATTCTATATAATATCAAAAATAGTATAAATAAAGATCTATCTAAGTTTTTCAGTATGTTTAAATCTAAAGAATTTTAAAAAGAGATAGCTAAAGAAAAAGTTCCCAATCCAAACAATATTAGCATTAAATTTTTTTTCAGACTTTTTGGCACATCATTGATAATGCTTTCATCTCTTCACTTAATCTTGCTTTAGTTACAATTCAATTCTCCTATTGCATTGTCAAAAGATATATTGCTGTTTTGCATAAAAGCAATGATAAAACAAAATTACAAAATTAGAGGCCCATCATCTATTCACTGCCTCACAAAAAATCTGTACTAAGATGATTTAAAGACAACTCCAAATAATTTTTTAAGAGATTATTTACTCAAATCAAATATTGTTATACTATAATACAACTACAGGATGGAAGAGAGAAGAAAATATTATATTATTGAAGAGCTTATTTTAAAATATATATATATATATATATATATATATATATTAAAAATATAGATAAAAGTAATGAGGTAGTAAAATAATTTAGTGTATTTTTTTTTAAATTTTTTGCAAAAAAAGACTTTTATTTACTTTGTAGGGCCATAAATAAGAAAAGAAAAAAAATGGTATTATAGACATTTTTAAGTAAAAATAAAGAATAGCATCATCAAAAATTACTTGAATAAATCTTAGATTGATATCCAAGGAAGGCCAATTATGAACTAGGATTAAAATCAAACCTTGAGGCACAAAACTATGTACCAATGGCTGATGGGTGGTCTCTTTAATTAATCATAATGTGGGTTTTGACATCAAACTTGATAAGATTTCTATAATTTTTTATTTTGAGGGATTTGAAAGCATATTAAATTTGTAAAATCTTTGCAATGTTAAGATTGTTTTAGTAATTTTTTTTGTGGAATAAAAAGATTTTTTTTTGATGATTTTTATAAATTTTAAAGCAGATATATAAGTAAAATTTTATTAATTTGTGAATGTAATAGTGTTAAGTGTGGATTTTAGAATCTGACATCAATTGGAGGATCTAATCAAAAATAATTGAGGTTCAAGTGAGTTGGAATTTTAGAAATTGGGTTTTAAAGATCAACTAAGATTTCTTAGATTTTAAGCAATTATGCAATTGAATTGGAAAATTTTCTTCGTGTATTAATAGCTGATTGATTTTTTTACATTCTCCATTGGTTTTGGAAATAAAACCAAATTTTTTACATTTCAAACTTAGCAACCTCTTTTGTTTATAAATTTACTTCTAATTCTTATAATTAAAGTCATTGGCAATGCTTTGCTTGGCAACAATTAATTTTAATTGTAATTGTTTTTTCATATTCAAATATTTTTGTAAGAGCTAATTCATGTTTAGAGATCTTTGTCTGTAGACTATTTTAATCTAAGAGATTACATAATAGATGTCTCAAGTTTGTGGTACTCTTATCTTTGTCTTTGAATATAAAGAATTATATA